TCTCAATTATCGCTGTCGGCCGTGTATTTATTGGGATATTGATTTGATCTATTTTCGCGCGCGGAGCACGCAGCAGATAGAAACGAGGTCGTAGAACCTACATAAGTGTCCCGCCGACGGTATAGCTATCGTCGCAAGTAACATCGCCACGATAAGCTTGAGGAAATCGATTTTTTATCGCGAATATACGCTAATTGAAATGACGGTATCAATCATCTTCTTATAAAAATTTAGAATATTAGTTCGATGTAAAAAAAAAAAAATTTAACAGAGAAAAATTCATTAATATATTTATTACAAAAATTTATACAGGAGGAGAATATTTACTAGATGTGTACATAAAGTATACATAAAGTCACAAATAATCATCTAAAAAACATATTTGTACGATAGTACAAATATACTTTCTTGAGATAAAAAAAGCATTCCATCTATTTTTTGATATTTCTCTTATCTTTTTCTTTACTTTATATTCTCACTGTTTACGTTACGAAGTTCTTTGATATCACAACCGTTAGTTACTTTGCTGTTCTTTCGTAGATACATATTGTATGCGCACGTACGTTCGGAGAAATCAGGATGGCGTTGAGAGGCGAGCTCAAGGCAGGTATATCGGTCGTATATGTGTATATAAGTATATGTATGTACGTATATGTACGGAATCTTATCTGCGGCCGCAGATTATCGAATTTCCGAGCGTTAGATTAGATTTCTCGACGACCACGCGCGAGCTCAGCACACGGCCACGTTGGGTTTCTGAAAATAAACGCGTATGAGGATCTCGTCATCGTCGCCAGTACTCTACCCGGCATCGTGTACAACGTGTCGCGCCTCCGACGTGTTCGTGTACATATATACAGTGTGTACAGAGTGACTCGAATGTGAAGAATTTTTTTGGAAGGATGTTTATCAATTTGTTATTGAATATTTAACAGAAAAATAATAAAGAGAATAATAATAAAAATAAAAAAAGTCTAGCTACAGTAATTTAAAAGATTTGAGAATTGTTTAATTTTTTTTTTTATAATAGAAAGTGAAAGTAAGATAAGTTTATTTAAATCTTGTGTGTGTGTGCGATGATTTAAGAAAAAATTCCAAGTGTTTACAGATTTATTGCATTTAGATTGTTTTAATCGTGTGTGTTATATATGATACTGTAAACTAAAAGTTATCAGGAATTTATATGTTTATCGAAATGCAAGACTTTATTTCCGTACAATCTTCTTCATGAGACTCGGCTATATTTAACGTCATACACAATTTTCAAATCTGTATATTTATGATTTTATCGAATAAGATAAAAATATACGAAAATAAAAAAAAACTAATTTACTTTCTCTTTTACATTATTGATTTCAATAAAATAAATGAATTTGATGTGTAACCTTTTAGTTACACCGAGTATATGCACATTTAAAGTATATCAATGTTTGAACTTCCGATATAATGTTGTATGTTCTATGTGTGTATCAATACATCGCATTTACACACACATGTATACACTCATATCACTGTTATTTTTAAAGTATTGGTGATATGCGATTTCGAAAAGAGAACGAAGGGACGATAAGCGTCCGGACGGAGGAGCAAACCACGCGGAAATTCAATTTTATTCGTTACGGGGGTGGAACTGGTAAGAGAACTCGTCTCGTTCGATTTTCAATTATAACGTCGAGCACTTTTATGAAGCAACTTTATTATACTTAGTTGGAAAACGCACGGTCCAAAACAAATTACATTGCGATCTGATAGACGTCTGCGACTACGTTGAACTATTAATAAGACATTGTTAATTTTTTTATAATCTAACATAGTACCTACTTGCACACGATACAATTAAATTAGTGAATCTACTTAAGCCGGGTGATATATTTACTGTATATATAGCATATAGCAATTATGACAAATAATCTCGGAGAGCAGTAACTTCAAGTAGACTAAGCGAGGGGGGATTCAGTATTATCCTACCTACTACTTCGAGTAAATCAGTTCAAATCCACAAGCCGATTAATATAGATTAAACCATTGTTATGTATTGATATATAATTGATAATCTCAGTGTGGGCTAATTACGTGTATATATTTTATCTATATATTACGATACTCGTGTCAAAGTATCAATTATTTTAAAAAATAGATAGTAAATTTGTTTATGTTTAATACAGCTATATATTCGTTGCGTAGAAAATGTTGAAAATCTGAAAAAGTATTAGAACAATTATGTAAAATTATTAAAATCGAGTATGTTAAAATCCCCGCGCATGATTACATGGTAAAGTGACAATTTAATTTTTTCTCCGACGACGTCCCGGAGGGTTCGCATTTTCTGGATGATGATTTTTCATCCGGAGTTCACCGAGAACTATTTGCACCCTCGTTTCGGAGAGGCGTCGATCAAATTGACAGATGACGTTTTAATAGGCTCCAAACACGTGTTGTGCCGGAGGATAATTTTACGTCGTTAAGCCAAGGTAAACGAAACATAAGACGTTTCATTGAGGAAGATATTAAAAGCTTAAACATTCACTCGAATAATTAAAAAAAATCTCGTTAGAATAAAACTCTAAAGATTCATTTTACAGTTTTATGATTATGTTATTTGTTTTTAAATTAGAAACTCTAACTTTTAAAATATCATTTTCTTATAATGGAAAATAAACAAGAACTAATGATCGCGCCATTTTGTGATCAAACTCTCGTTGCGACAATCATGTTTTAGTTCTGTACAATCGTACGTTTTGCTTTCGTGTTGGATACTTGTTAGGAAATTTCAAAGCGGTTCGCCGGAATATAGTTTATCCTCGCGTTGCCAATTACAGGTGTCGAGGCGAAACACGAACTCCTTTGCCGTAGAAACTTGCACAGCTTATTGTCGCAAAATACGCGTGCGATCTAGCTATTATTTGCAGCCAATTTTCAGCGCGCGACGCTGTTTATCGAGTTAGCTCAATAGTATAGGTGAATTGTTTAATATGTCGCAATTATGTAAGAACTTGAGGAAGTCGTCAGCAATGGTTTTCGAGCTTTTTCTGTTGTGACAAAATAAACATGTGTTATCGTTGTAATATCTTTTGATTTACATAAGAAGACTGTTCTTTTTGGAACAAGAGTTTGTGAAGAAGCTGCTAGCGACGTTTGTTCTACTCGCACGCGTCGTTGCGACAGATAAAAACACACACACAGTCAATCTTAATACCGTTAAGATAATAAATTTACATCACACGCTTGACGCGATATAGTAAATCTCAATTTACGACTTTAATTATAGAATTTACAATTCCGTACATCATCCTAAGCTTCTCTGCAACTCCTTTGTGAGTTCCCTCGGCTTTGAAATTACATTGTATGTTGACACATTGTCAGCCTGCGTACACACGTATTTGCTCGGGATTCTGGCTTTGTTATTCGTAGCGCGATGCGACGACAGATGGTTACAAGACAATATACGAAGCTCAAGACTTCAGGATCGCTTCTCACAGAGAGACAAACTTTACATTTTTTTTTTATTAACTATATATATTGAAACGTATATTATAATATATTTTTATTATTAAAAGATCAAACTGCCACGACTTGCAATTTTACATGGGATTCGGAACGTCTAGAGCGCTCAATCGGCCGCGAAATGCGCGCCGTTCACGCGAGCTATGGCGCTGCAGCGACGATCGAATCGTGGGTGCACGTCCAGCGGAATTCGAATCTCGTCATTAATTGGAGGAACGACGCTCGCTATCTGTCCGGCACTCTCTCGATTCGCCATTCCGACCTACTTTCGCCATAGCTGCCGGTTAGAGTCTCTGCCAAAATCTCGCGTTAGAGATTTCGGCATCGTCAAGCTCCACGTGGCCGAGAAATTGATTGTGAGCCGGGAAATACGCTCTCGTTTCACTGAGGGAACGACTGTCTGGTATTCATCAGAGAGTTTGTATTTAATTAAGTCGAGAGAGTAACGCGAGTAAACGAGGTAACCCGACGCTTTTGTAATTCAGAAGAGAACGGCGCTTGCACGAGTGTGTTTCGGCTCAGTTGTCGCTCGCGAGGACAGTCGTTCGTGTCCCTGACAATGACTTGTGCAATTGCACGCGCTCGGTATAGTTTGTTAAAACGCGCGTGTACAGCAAGATTGTTTAATCTGTCTTCTGATGCCTCGCGCGTGTCTTTGCATCTTTTGGGAAAATTCAAATTAAATCCGAGCATCGAACACGCACGATTGCACAAGCATAGAAAAATAAACGGTGAAACTCGAGAAAAGCACGTGACTATATATCACGAGTTCCTATTTCAGCGACGCTATTACTTATCGCAACCTTGCTTTTTCTCGGCCACAAACGAGAAAACACGCCCTAACAGCGCGCGCTCACGCACGTGCCACTCGCTAACTATTTCCGGCCACTTCCGCGAACGCCGTTATTCTCGGTATTCTTTGTCGTCTCTGCACTATCTGCCAAATAGGCCGACGGCCTGTTTACTTCGATCTCTCATCGGGGACGTTTATTAATAAATTTCGCGAGAAAACTGCATCCTCGCAAAACTTTTCCGTGTCTTCTAGTTCGCCCGTCGAAATAGTTTTTTTCACGAAAAGTTTTCAGATTGCGAACGTTGTGAATCACGCGGTTGTTTTTATCGGCGTGATCGATCGTGTTCGAGCATTACCTTCTAATTACAGCACTTGAAAGGATGAAGTGACATAAATACATCACTAGAATAAACTTGTGAAACTCAATGACGATCGATCTTTTTGTCGACTTTGTCATATCTGATAGTTATAACTTACTCTAAAAGAGAGTTTTTTTCTTATTTATAAATAACAATCATTAACAAGAATCATCATTTATGATTTACAGGTGGATCGGTCAGGGGGGAGGTTGAACCCGGTTCAAACGAGCTCACACCTGGCAGAAGGTCTGGCGGTGGTGGCGGCGGCGGTGGCGTCTTGGGGGTCGGTGTCGGCGGCGGAGGCGGCTCTGGGGGCCGAGGCACCTCCGGGGGTGGCGGCCGCTCGAGGGACGAGCCCAGGAGGCACACCCTCGGCGGCGATCATCAGCCATCCCTTCATCATCAGCAGTTCAACGCGCAGCAGCTGCACCCCCTGCATCCACATCATTTGCCGCCACCACACGGCCAGTACGGCACTCCACCCTCACGACACACCACTATGGATCTCGAGGTGAATCTTTGCTCACGCAACATGTAAATACACACTTTATTGTTTGGGATAATGATCTCTCTTGTGTCTCTCTATGATTTCGCTCCCCTACGTCTCGCTACTTACATCACGTTTCCCCGTTTCCTGTTTATGCTTAGTTCGTAGATGACACTTTGTGGTAGTGGAATCTCGATGAATTCGGGATTACGATATGTAACGTATTATTTTTACTGTTCTGTTTTATTTTTTTTTATTTTTTTTTTGTTTGTTTTTTGTTTGTTTTTTGTTGTACATATGTAGTTCAAGGTTCTAGTATTTCACAAAACTCGAAAGGTATCGAGATTCTACTTCAAATCCTAAAAAACTGGGACGCAACCAGAACCTCTACAAACGTGTACCATCCTTTTTTTTCAATTGCAATATGTACCTTTCATTTTTGTGTGATTTCTATTTTAAATTTTTTCCGCTCTCTTTACGTTTTTTTATATTTTTTAAATTTATACATCTTTTATATATATATATATGTATTTATTAGGTATATAACTACGATATGATGTTTCCGTGTTTTTATATCATATATACTTGTTCATTTGTTCCTGGTATGTGATGTTAACACAATTGTTGTCTCACATAAATTTATAAACCTTGTCTTATTGATATTGATTAAAAAAAATCTATAACTTTTCACTATGTGCCCACAAGACGGGGTTTTATCTTAAGGTAAAATAAATCTCTCTTTATATCTACATGTACCATCTCGGATTTTTCGCCGATAGGATTTGTGTCTTTCTTTTTCGTATCTAATGTATGGGGCGGCTCGATTTTTAATGGACTCACTGAACATTTCTTTTGTCACGTGGCTTTGATGTATCGTACGTTGTTGTTTGATTTTTTTATAAACGAATAACTCGCGTATACAACATAGAAAATTACACGAAATCAAAAAACGTTTTTGCATATGTTGTACGAAAAAATTTTATTACTTCAATTCTTAAAATTACACAAACTGTTTTGTACAATAAATTAGAAAAGAATTTGACGTACAACAATTTGTTTTTTTTCTCACATTCCTGACAATTCGGACAACACGAAAAATGATACTCGAATGTATAAACGTAATCGACAACACTTCGATTTCGCTGGCGTTTCTCTCACGTGATGCTATAATTTAGAATAGCCACGTGTGCAATCGAGCGTGAAACCCATATATGTATATAATTATCAGACAACGTATTGGATTGAACGAAAAAAATTTGTTTCTCTTCTATGTTTGTGAAGTAAATTATTCACTGAACAATTTTATTTGCGCGATTAAACCTTTCTTCTATTCTGGCTTATTGTTTGTATTGAGATTTTATTATTTTTCATTACACGTATGTACTGAATTTGTGTTATTAATTTTTTTCTCACAAAGAATAGGAAATGTTCAGTCAGTCAATTATATTTACTGTGCAACAAAAACGTTCGTTTTTGCATCGAAAAAGCTGTATTTCTCGTTTCGGGAATGTTGCATTCAAGAAAACGCACAACAGATCTAGTCGATGCACTACTATAATAGTGAAGTCTTATTTATGGACCGTGCACGTGAATGCACACCATACACGTTTATATTGTTTATCTACATCTTCTATTCTTCTCTCTCGTAATTTTTTTCTCGCATTCACGGCGGAAATATGGAAACGTTACTTACTTTTAGAAATATGAGCCTTATGAATTACACAGTATTCGCTCGATTACGCGGAGATTCAAGTGAATTTTTTCTTTTTCTTCTTTTATTTAAAATGAAACAAGATTATTCATAGTTTCTACAAAACGGAATAAATATTTTTTATTACTTGATATACAATATGTTACATATTGTTTTTACATGTGCGAAAAATTGCAATTAATGAATGTTAAAAGTTACGATAGCGTGTAGTCATTTACGTGAGTTATTAAAATGTAATATTAAAATGTAAATTTATATCATACATGAAACATTGCAGTAGCATTTGTAATTTTCTCGTTTATTAATTACAAAGAATATTATTAATAATATTACACAACACATACGTGATAACATTGTTATAGCATGTCTATATTTATTCGATATATACGTTTATCAAAGTAAAAACCAGATGATCTCATTTGAACGTAAAAGTCATTTTAATCCCTTGTATGTTGTGAGACTGGAAATGTGGGTAAAATATTATTTAAATACCCACAGCTTATTACGGTAGCAAATAGAGTGAGCGCGGTCAAGAACCGCCGGTATAATGAGGGGAAGCGGTTAATTAATTACCATCCACCTACGACGTCCTCGTTTCTTGCGCTCGTCATTACCGATAATTGGAGAGTACCGAACGTAAATGTATTCACGTAAGCTTCGTTTTCTCTTGACGTTACCAGATTTTCGGGTTCGTTTTTTTTCTCGGCATGTTAATTACCTGGATGTTAAAAGTTTTTTTACGGTAACGATTTAAAAACTGAGAGTATGTATAAAATTCTGCAGTTTCGACGTAAAACATCATTAGCTTGTGACCAAAAATATATTGCGTTTAATACAACTTTAGATATTAGGGTAAAAAAAAGTATCTCTATTTGGCGAAATATATGTGAGATAAAAGCTATTTTAAACTTCTTTTTTTTTTTTAATAACATAACGGTTTGTATTTGTCTAAATATTTGCGTCAAGAGACCGAAATGCATTTTTTTTCGCGTAAACAAATTTTGAGCATACCGTTTGTATTCTAATCGCGAGCATTAATCCCGAATGTCTTCTCTCGCGATAGTAATTGCAGTCGGCACAATTTAGATACCATTAAACTTCGCTCGTATTATATCGCACTCGGAAGATCTAAAGATCGTGAAACTCGTGTCAGACGGATGTCGGACGATCGATTAGTTCGTAGCACGTGGTTATTGAGCACATCCCTCTGAGGTGTCTCCGTGGTTTGTACAAGATAATCGAACTCGGCGTGCAGATGGTGCACATTCGAGATAGTGGATGTGAGCGTTACGTCATCGTGTTCGCCAGCTCTGCTATTAATTGACGGCCGGCTCGACTTGTAGCTTGTTCTGTCACTATGTGTAACACGTGGTGGTTACACGAAGTGCGCGATTGTTTTGAATCGCGAAAGTACACTGCCAGAAACAGGATTGATTTTTTTTTTTTTTTTTTAATCGGATTTCAGAAATTATAAAAATCAATTAAAACAATTAAAATGCTTCATTTACAATTTACATAATTCTGCTCGAAAAAATGTAAGTTCACGATACGATTATCAAAATTTGACGAACTTTAATTATTACGTAATTAATAGCTATTTGATGCGTATATTTTATTTTATATAAATTTTAAAAAAAATATATATAAAAAAAATATCTCTGGTCTCTTTAATCCCTCTTTTTAACCCTTTGTTATAGTTGTGCGTTAACGTGTAAAGCGTGTACTTTTTTCTCCCTCATCGTTTTTTTATTCTTCTTCTCTCTTTTTTACCTTTTATCTTTTTATCTCAAAGCGTTATGACAACGTTGTAGATATTTACCACGCGTTCCATTCTCGAACGTGAGTTGTATATGTTATGGTATCATAAGCGCTAACTTTCTTGCTTTTATAAAGAACGTGTCGGAAGTAAAAAGTACATAATCCTATTTTCTTCCGTGTAATATATTTCACGTTATTTTATCGACGTGTATAGGAAAATGCATATGATGAGTGAGAAGTAAAATTTAAATTGTTTATTATTTACAGATATTTGGTTTGAAAGTTACTAATTGATATAATATGTGCAGTATCTCTTTTTGATGAGATACAGAAAGAAAACCCGCATAAAATACAAATATTACAAATACATTTGTTCAAATATTTTACATAAATAATTATTACACTTTAATCTTTAACGACAAGATATTATGATATATTTTATCTGCCAAAGATACATTTAATTATATGTATTGCTAAATAGAAGAAAATACGAAATTACAAAGATAATCTGTATTCCTATATGTGTACGCAAATATTTTTATATTGTACTGTTTGATCATGCAAAATGCATAATTATATTCTCTCTTTCTCTCTCATTCTCTCAGCTCTCTTCAAATACTCGCGCACGGGCCATAAAGAAGAGGATATTGGCATTTCCATGACAATAACCGATTTACGGAATGTAATGACGTTTCGCTAGAAGTAACAACTCGATGATCGTAAACGCGTTGCCTCTTGAAATCCGAAAAACCCCGTTCGTGGAACACGTTTCATTACGAGCAGGAAGTTAGCGCCTATGTGTTATTTGCAGCCACAATTACGGGTCGAAGTTACATGACCGACCTGTCAACGAAGAATTTCGATCGTCAACGACACAACAATTACTCAATTTTTGTTTTTTATTTTTTCCCTTTTTTCTTCTCTTCCGTTCGATATCATCATTTCCGTTTCAATCGCCGGTTTGGTCCCTCTCTCTTGTCTGCTGTTATTTATTTTTACTCCGCAACATATTACACATCTAACTGGTTTTTCACTTTGTGTGTGTGTTTCCGTGTTACCTGCCGCGTGCCCGCCCGACAGATGGGGACCAAGTCTCGCCAGAGAAAGGTAATTTTTGAATTTTCATGCTTTCCATGCAAGATTGCCTGCGCAATCAATTCTTTTCCGTCAACGTGCATGTCGGCATGCTGACACGATCGTTTTTTCTCTGAGTGGCATTTAATCCTCGACCCTTACCGTGCGTCTAATTGTTCGCTCGGCAACTGTCGTCGTGATCATATTCGTAATATGACAGGCGGTAATAAAAACCTTGACGACGCATATAATCGGGTTATAATTAGAAAATTAAAACAAAAAAAACTCTTCAGTTTGTAAACTTCTAACGATAATATAAATGTTACTTTATGTATATTTGTGCGCCGGAATCGTACAGCTTGCCTATACTCGTAATAATTTTGTTTGCCAGTTGTTTGTTGTACATATATTTATGATATCAGCAAATAAATTGTTTGTTTATTAGCAAATAAATTCGCGTACTTTTAAGCAAACAGATGAGTAACGAACTTATTTTATTTGTAAAAAAAAAACCTACACGATTAGATGCACAAAAAGTGTCTGTTGTAAATGTATTGAATAATCCGTTAACGATTTTCTTTTTCTTGTGAATGCCACCAAGTGACGTTTATCAAAACTTCAAAACTGAAATAGCAAAGCGCTCAATGTGCACGTGTGCTGAAAATTTACCGATTTCACGTGATTGCAGTCGCCTCTTCCGCGCGGATATCCGCCCCCATCTTCGACGATGCTTTTCGATGACGACCCGGGCATCATGTCCGAGGTGGAGACCTCGAGCACGGGATTTCGTCGAGGCGGCAAGCAACGGAGCAGCTTGCCCGTCGTACGAACGCCCAGCAAGACTTTGGAGCGACCATTAGGTAATTCGCAAAAGATATAAAACTTACGCGAAGAAAAATTAACAAAGTTAAGAGAATTTGCGTAGATACTTTAAAAGTTTAGTCTCTTTCCTCTTTCGTAAATTAAAATTACATCGGTTTTATACTTTATGTTATATAATTTTCTAACTATTGATTATTGTACAAAAAAAAAAAAAACAATGTTAAAATTAACAACACACATCTTCGTGATAATAGCTTTTCTAGAATAAGTGCTTCAATGTATTGTCTACTTTGGGTGTTAATGTTGTTTGCTCAAATGCGTTACGACTTCGCTAACAATGCGATTTTACGTTTGCTTTTCTAGGACTGGTATTCCTGCAGTACAGGAACGAAACGAAGAGAGCTTTGCTGCCGAACGAGATTACCAGTATAGACACTGTCAAGGCTCTCTTCGTTAGAAGCTTTCCGAAACAACTCACCATGGAATACCTGGATAGTCCTCACGTAAAAGTCTACATACACGACAGTAACAAAGACATGTTCTACGAACTCGAGGATTTAAGGTAACATCTCGAAATTCTATTAGAAAATTTTTCTTTAAAAAATTATAGTTTAATCTCTTAAATTTAAATAAACAGAAATATTTTATCGCAAATGTTTCATCTGCTTTTGCGTATCAGAAATAACAAAACAAATTAAATTCTTACTTTTTATTTATGTGGTAAACATTTTTATAGTTTTATCAGATAGTTTGCAACAATAACATTTTAAATATTTTATTCAATATTTCTAATCAATTCACACTTTTATGCTATTAACGCGATAAATGTTCAATAAAGCGACGTTTATTTAAAACGCAAGTGTGTAAAAGTAAACGTGATTTGTGTTTTGTGTTTTAAGGTCACACTTAAGAGACATTCGGGATCGCAGTGTCCTGAGACTTTTCGAAAGCGCCGACGGAGTGACAGGGATGCCAGGGCCATTGGGAGTGCCAGGAGGTGGCGGTGGTTTGCCGCCTCACTGGGAAGATCAGAGCTACTTCAGCGAGCCGGAATTCGACAGCGAATATCAGCATCAGCACATTCACAAGAGCAAGGTAAGTGCACGTTAACGAGATCTCGTTCGTAAGTCCGTCCGCTTTCATGTTCCTCGTCGGGAACGAGATCGAGTTAGGTTCTTTCACTTCGCTTGCCGTCAAATTGATTCGACAAAGAGTGGTATAATCGTATACAGCGACTTTAGAAAATGAAACGAGAATCAATTGAAACACGTGGGAACGAGTGTTTACAAAAGTTTATTCGGCATACACATCACATTTACGTACAGAATACAAAATACTAAGAGCTAAGTCTCGAGTTTACGTATTGTACTGTACGTTGCTGATCGATCAAGGCGGTCATTCTGCCGTCGTCGTTTAATTAAATTCTGCGTTTTTGTCGCGCCGAAGTCGACTGATCAGCACGCATCCTAAAACGCATCTTCTGAAATGAGTATTCCAGTAAAAGCGATCGTTATATTATTCGCGTTCAGTTCCTCGAACTTTACGAGATAATACTGTCCTATTACATCGACGTTACGTAACTCCGTTAAATTCAATTTCTCTTAAGACTATCTTCGTATACGGGTTATCGCGACGTTTATCGTACATCGTAGCACTTACGGAATTCTCAAACTTAATCGTTGTAACAGTTAAGCGGGGCAGAGAATAAATATAATCGGCAAGATGTCGTGTCACGTGCAAAGCTTTCGCGTCTTGAATAAATATTTGTAAGTTGTTTTTTTTTTTTTTTTTTTTTCAATCGAGCGAGATGCATAAATACGCGATAAAACAAAACAAATTTAACACGAAAACGATTCTTACTCGCGACTTTGCTCTAATAGAAATAATTACTCAACAAGAAAAACTGATAACTGACAAAGGAAATTTAATTAAAAATCGCGTGACTCGTGCAAGTGACATCGGTCATCGTTGCCCATAACAACTTATAAAATACAATCAGCGAATCTAAACATGGCGTGGGATACTTGGGAATGTTCCGTTCTCCAGAGAGAAAAAAGAGAGATCGTCGATTTCTTTGTCAATCTTCATCGACGTCGTGTCAATCGTGTCAATCGCGATCCGGATCTTTTAATCGCGGACGCTCGATAAATTCCCTGAGAATTCATGCAACGTCCATCATGAGTGTCCTCGCGCGATTCATCGCGTTTCGTTTTAGAACGCTTTGCACGCTTGCACGGCCGGCAAGAACAGCGCGCCGGAGTAGAGCTTCTTGGGCACAGATCTCCAGCTCATTACCAGCGCCTTCTCGAATGGCTCGTCGACGCAGCCGTCGCACACGTCCATCACTTGCCTAACCTCGGCCTCGGCGGGCTCGCGTACGTTTTCCTCTTCCTCGTCCTCCGTCTCTTTCGCGAGCTCGAGGCCGTAACTCGTCAGTCCCGCGTAATAGTCGTTGTCCAAACCCTGAGGGATGGAGTACCCGTCGTCGAGGATCGATCCGTCGCCCAATTGCAACAGTTCTCTCTTCTTCTTCTTCTCGGTCTCGCGCTTTCCCAGCTTCTTGTCATCCACAGTTCCCGACCTCGGCACAAAAGACACCTGAAAGTTGGAGAGGTTGACACGTTAAGCGTCGTTTGCTGTCTGTTGAGTAAATAGCAATTTACAGCGGGGTATATCGTTCGCTTTATTCTCTTTTCGAGAAGAAGAACGATACAGCATGGCGCAAGAGTTTGTTCTTGATTCAAACAGAACGTGTCTTCGCGAGAGAGAAATCGTTTAATCGGATTTACTGTCATGCAGAAAAACCGAAAGTAAAACATCAACTTGTCTCACTCAACGATAAGACGACTCGAACGTTTTGAGGTGGAGACAACTTAGCTGAAAAGTGTGAAAGTCATTCACGACTCGAACGAATTTTCTCGAGAGACGGTACACCGAACAATTTCAATTCTCTCGTGCACACAAGTCGAATATATATACGTTCATCCAGATTATATTATATTTCCACTCTGATTCACTGTAATTCTTTTTTATTTTCTTACGCTAAGTAGGTCGGAAACTGAAGGAACTTGCACAATTTGATATTCGCTAATTAAAATTTTCTTCGAAGTTTTTCAAGAACGTGTAAGATTCAATTGTCTACTTCTATAGAAAAGAGACTATTCATTGAAATAAAAAAAAAAGTAACTCTTATAAGTAAAATCTATATAAGTAAAATGAATAAATATAACCTTATATACATATTTATGTTAATATTATTTAAAACCTTGTAAAATAGCAAATAAGACTAAAAGACACAAAGATATATTTTAATAATAAATAAACCTAAAAGATAAATACAGATATATTTTCTCTGAAAACAAAAAATGCGCGACGCTTACCTTCGATCTAATCAAACTCACCTTATTGTCGGAATCAGCAGCTTCCGAAGCTTTCGCGGCGTCTCTCTTCTCGACCGATTTCTTGGTCAAATCGGACGCAACCGCCTCGTCGTGAATGTCTCGTTTTCTCGATTCGTTTTTCTCCCTTTTGAAGAGATTGTGATAGGACCCGCTCGGAAAGATCGACGATGGTCCAGCAGCCACGGATAACTGTTGCTGTACCGGATTGCTGATGAACTGCGATGCCAGAGCGGGGTAGGTCGTCGACAGTACGTCGAGATTCAAAGGCGGAAGCGGCTGCGGGGGCGATTCCGGAACCGGCGGCAACGCCGGATGACGAATGGTCACGCCGTTTTGTACGATCTGAATCGGCGCTCCCGGATTGATCTTCACCTGGAAACATCGTGTTCACATACATGAAATATTCATGCTCGCTCGAGCGTGACAAGAAACGTAGGAGAGAAGCTCCCACACACGTGTGCGAGCTGAACAGAAGCGCGTTTCTTTCAACAGCGCGTGCGTGCGCGTTCGAAAGACGTCGTAAAGGCGTCTGAAGAAAGATCGTAAAACTGTCTGAGAGACATGTTAAGACCGTCCTAATTTTTCTTTTAGGCGCGTTCTTTGGACGCCTCCGCGTTGTTTACGGTGACGCTAATTGAGGAGCGGAGTGAAGGCAATTAGCTTGATGATACGGCACGCGCGTGCTTTCGAGCGTGTGACAAAGCGAGAAAACGTGATTATACTTGTGTATTGATCTGGCCGCCGGTGAGGAAGGGATGAGGCGGCAGGGGCGGTCCGGTTACAGGCGCTCGCGTGGTGGTCCGTGGTGTGTTGTTACTCGTATCGTGTTCGTAATGATGAGCGTGGTGGTGCTTGTGATCTTTGTGCGCCTTTCCCGCAGTCAGCGCGACGTTGTACAGCTGCACCATCGTCAGCTCTCCTAAGTAGCCGCCCGAACCTGGGAGATAACAGATTGTTAGTTATTCCGAGATTTTACACACTACAGTAGCTGTTACGGTAGGAACTCTTTTAAATTAGACACAAAATGAAAATTCGAAAAACGTTTGAAATATAATATCGAAAGAATTTTTTTTAAGTAAATACTGACATTATTTTTCTATTTAAGTAAATATTATTATTTTTATTTTTTATCTATTTAAGTAAATACTGACATAATAAGAAAATATACAAAAATGTTTTTACCTGGTGGCGCGTCTTCTCCCTCCAGGAAACCGCCACCCAGTTGCCGTTGCTCTTGTCCGGAAATAGCAATTCCGCCACCCTTGATAACATGCCCGACTAACTGAAATAATCACGACGATGTAGAATGTAATTTTGTTTTTTTTTTTTTTTTTTTTTACGTAATATAACGCGATAAAGAAAATGCGGTTCGATATTTGATCGATTGATCGACGACAACGTGAACACATTAGTGAGAAGCTACTGATTGAAATACAGAACAAAAGATGGATTGTGTCTTCTTTGTGAGATATAATGACGGTAGAGATAGATTGCGCGCACAGCCGCAGTCATATGGAAATTTAAATTGCTTTTTTCTTTTTTTTTTTTTTTTTTTTTTTTTTTTTTATTTGAAGGTAACCTTGGCGTTCTCGGACGGGTATATACATCGCGATATAGAATTCTATACCTTTTCATTTCCCGTTTATTCTATTCGTTATTCTATTTCGTCGCCATTCTTTTTCATTTCGTTTCTGTCCGACGCAATCTGAATGCAGGAAGGCGCTGTTTCTTGACAGCTCTCATGCATTCAGAAGGTCTAAAAAAATTTACTACCACGTAATTGCGAATCTAGTACTTCTGGAAAATTCAATTTTAACAGTTAGTGTATTAATTAAGCGCGTAAGTATCGGCGTTTCTCTAAAATGCACGACTAAAATACATACGCATAGCTTTCACTGGCTTTTTGTTATTGTAACATACATGTCGCAATATCTGTATGTATCGACAGTACCAGAATCGAACGGGTGAAAAGAACTCTTGCGAATAAACGCAAATATTGTTGCGATCTTTAGAAACGCGTCACGCGCGTCTCTATTTACATATTATACAATCAAATACTGCGACTTTATATAGATGGTCGTTTGTGTGGAAGCAGCATTAAGTTCCGCAAAACCGCGGTGACAGTGCACTCGACTTTCGCGTCGGGTAAGGTGCGGTAGATGTGATACATTCGCAAACGTGACTTGTATACGGACAGACGTAGATACTTTATACCGTGCGCCGGAAGCATGCTTGTTCAAGAAATTCTTGGCGCGTTTAGCATAAACGATAATTGAGACGACTGTAATATAGAACTCTTATGCAACTATGCGCTTATACTCCAGCGCAAAGCAAGACAATCTTCTCTTGTCTCTCTTCTCTTAAGAGAAGGAATGTTTCTTCTTTCCCCGGTACACAAACGCTACAGTCGCAAGAACGACATTCGCGGAATGTTAATAAAACCGTAGCTAGCGAAATAACGATATCGTTGCCTCGCATTAGTTTAATCAGACGGAGGTATTTTTGATTTAGAATTCTTACCGTTTTGTTTTATTGCACAACATCGCGTGTAATTCGCAAAACACACAGATATTATTTTTTGATAGAATATTTTTTTTTACGAAAGAGAAAGATTTATTATTCTCTAGAAAATAAAAATTTTTTTACGCAAAATGTTTCGCGAGATCGTGCTATTTAAAAAAAAATAATTTTTTACATAAAAAAATAAACAAGTGTGTGTCACAAATATTACAACATGTAAATTTGTGTATCTGATATTTATTACGAAAGATTAAGTTTATTACAAAATTTCAACGTACAATAATATTTTATAGCAGAATAATATTGTCAAATATAAATATCTTGGCAAAAACAATTACAGGTAAAATATTCGAATATTTATGTTCCGCAAATAAATTATATTTACGTTTATTTTTCAATAACACACACACACACACACACACACATTCGACATTTCTTTTAAAATTGAATTAGTTTTGTTATCTGCGTATTTGTTTTGTTTTAATTACTGCAAAAACTTTTGCGACGAGTAATATACAGCGACTATACAGATTTTATATGGCTATAGATTTTTCTACGTCGTGTAGTAGTAGTAAAACCGCGTGTGTGGTCAGACGCGCGCGGTTCTATTCGGGGATATACTTAAGGCGCGTATTAGCAAAAGCACTTCATTAGCGTTAATTGATTTCACCGGTAATGCGCTCATTCTGTGCGCGACGAGATCTGCAATTTCATCGTCGTTGAAATTCGCATCACGAGTTTGTGGTACGGTATAATTAGCACAGGATAATTGCAAGCATAATCCATTAAATAAGTGTTATTACTTCCAAAGACAATTTATGCGACTATTTCGTAATCGAAAAATGTCATCCTTGTACATTATTTCAATTATTTTTAAGCGTTTTCGGAAACTGTATGTGATACGGTTTCGACTGTACTCCAAGTTTTTTCACGTTTGTTGTTTTCTGCGTTTTACACGCGAAAGATGTAGGCCACGTGGAAAACAATTAAAACAATAGCTCTAATTCAGGTCAAATGACGATTAAGAGGCGCGTTGTAGCAGAGGAGGGCGACTATTTTAGTCCTGGAAGGACGACAAAGCATGGATCGACGATTACCGTCACGATCATAAAGTCCGAACACGAGAGTGAGAGACACCGACGGCAGTTTTTCTCGTTAGAGTATCAAGGACAATGCGCCACCGTTGCGCCGTTCGTGCGCTTCTCGCAGCGACCCAGATTTGTCGCCGCACGAAAAGTGCAATCCCGCGAGCGAGGCAAACGCGTATTTCTTACGTATTATATCGTCGAATCGTGACTTTGTTGTAACTGAAACCGCTCGGCGATAATATCGGACGAGTTTGCAACAGTAGGGTTTCTTTCTTCGTACCAGAAAACTATCTGTCAAATTCTCGTGCAATTCGATATTATTGCGAGTTGCTACACTCTCTTGAAATAAGAAGCAAGTGTATTCTCTCGTATTCTCTTTACTTTGATCAATATTAACTCGAGAAATATTGTGAAAATTGATGCAAGTGTCCTCGTCAAAAATTGAAACCGGAATAGCAGAATTTCAAATTTGAGAGAGAAATCGATAATTTTCTTGAAAAACAAAGAACAACAAAACTTTTGCGTCAGTTCAACACGAAAAGAGCGAAGCTATGTGTTTGTTTTCTGTGTTTTTTTTCGTCAAAAATATCAAAACACAGCAGACGTCCTCCCGTTCGTCTGTTTGCGAAACGATGCGCAAGAAGGTGAAGCGCCTAAGGGTCAAAGACAACGTAAAGTCGTGCTTACCCTGTTGTTGAACCCGCGACCGACGCGCTCGTCGTTGACCCAGATCTGCCACTCGCCGGTGCGGCCGTTCCAGCTCTGACAGGAGTGGTACCACTTGTTAAGTCTAAGCGGATAATTCAATCTGTACAAGTTGTGACCGTTGACGTTCAGCATGTAGTACGAACTCCTTGGGGTGTTTGCAACCCATGACAGTATCCCTCGCGGTTGATCGCCAACTGGAAGTTGAGGATTGGTAATTAACTCGCGCGCCAACGAGAGAGAAAGAGATAGAGAGAGGACAAGCGGATGCAACATCCTCATTAGACGGTAAACAAATGAAGTTATACTATAACAGTCGCGCACGCGAGATTCAAAGTTTTAGCGCGCAATTCGTGTCGGGGAACAATAGAGCAAAGACGCGTCTCACACAAGCTTTGTTCACATCATTATTAATCAATTCTTTAATCATTCGCGTTTCAAGTGTCAATAAGATCGACTTCAATTGTTGGGTTAACAATGATCACTGTTTCGAAATTAACAATTCTTCGTTAATTTGCAATAATTAATGATCGCCGACACGCCGAACACAAACACACTTCGTTATGTCATATTGATCCTGGAAGCCGAGCGCCATTTTTAGACACACGCGAGGAAGGAATTGTTGGTGTATTTATGACACCACGCATATCCGCCTATTGTCACGCTCGTCTGCGTCACGAAAAAAAAAAAAAAAAAACGCAAGAACGTGTGTGTGTGTGTGTGTATGCGTGCGCGCGTGCAACTTTCTATCGGCACAAAAACCGCAAACCACGCGGAACCTTTCTAAACTGCATATTGAAAACACGGTTGAACAATTTCATTGTTTGCATGCGAGTAATAACGTAACGGGTGCAAATCGATTCTTTGCCACGACAACGGAGGGCGGGACTTTTAGCTGCGATACTTACGAGAAGCCAACCGCTGATCCGCAAAAACGGATGAGCATTGCGTGAGAAAATCGAGATTACGCAACTGCATAAAAAACTTTTATCTCGCGCTTTCAGTGTTTGAAGTGTTTTTCTAGTTGTTTTTTTTTTGTTGTTGCGATAAATAGTTTTTGATCGAGTAAATTCTCGCTAGAAGAATTTTGATAAAATTCAGTTTTATTACACACTCGTGTGTGTATGAGGTGTTGAATAATATATTACCTATTACAAACGGTGCTTCAATAACCGTACGAACAATCACATTAAGTAAATCACGCGAAAACTCGTTATTGATATCTGTATGATAAAATTTCATAAAACTTTGACGTTTTCATTGGGGAAATATCAGTGTGAGTTTTCAAATTGCTTGTGTACATTGCTCACAAATGGGAAAACATTATTTTTAATGACTTTTGGCAATATTTTGAAATAACCGGTGAATTGAATAATTGGCGAGTGTGTGTGTACATAGTTTGTGTTTTTCGCGTACAAAAAAAAAAAAAAAAAAAAAAAATACTACGCGCGAATGTATCGCTCGTCCATTTTTGTAAAATGCTGACAATTGAATCTACCGTTTATTCGCAAGTATATTGTTTGCTTATTTGCAGTTTCCGCGCTGTTTTAGTAAACAATATATCAATTATGCGAAACCAGGTCAACGGCGAATTAGCTCACGGCGTAAAATTCGTTAATCAAACACGCAGCTCACGCCGCAATTTAAAAGCGGCAAGTTCAGTCGTCGTTTTTTTAAAAAAAAAAACAGCGGTAACGAGTTTCTCCGCGTTGAAAAAACAAAAAGAGACCCATTTATCTCTTCTTTGCATGCATATCACTCGGATAAACATAGAACATCGTTACGTTGTCAACTTGTTCGTTTCTTTCTCGTACTTCGAGATGTACATAGAAGAACATGCGAGAACTCTCATTAACACGAGATAAAATTTTAATGACAACCTTCTGCGTCAAACGTCAAAAGATCTCGGAAAAATTTCAGCGAAATGTTGGGAAAGCAAACTTCTCACGAGCGTTGCGCTAAAAAAAAAAAAAACAAAAAAAAAAACTCGATTTAAATTAATTAACGTGCACAAGGCGCATTTGTAACACCATTACGCGATAATTTGCGAAACTTTCGGACGATAAACGACGCCGGGATCTCGCTTTCACGTCCGATAAAAGGTGAAAGGAGAGAGGAAAACGAGTTTGGCGTTTGAGCACTCACCTGCGTAAGAAAACAAGGGATGGTCGTTGCTGTGATTGTAAAACTTCGTCCACATGCAGAGGGTGAACTCCTTCATGCTCGGCAGGTCTATCTTGTAATGAATGTACTGCGGGAGAAAGATAGATCGTTAGAACGGTTAGATCAGCCGACGTGAGGCGTTTCTAGCATCTATCGCGATCCCGAATTGTCAATGCCGCCGGCGTGTATGCGTCGAAGATTAATCGCTTCGTGCGATTTAATCGCGCTGTGTGTGCTCTCGCGTATCGCGCTAGCGGTCCGCATTATACGGGCGGGCCTTACATTATTAATCGTCAGCGTCGATTCCCGTGACTCCCATTAAAACCCCGCGTTAAGTAAACGCCACACACTGGCGAGCCGGTGTGTTCCCTCGGGCGCAATCGGACGTGTGTGTAATTGAACAATCATGTGAAAGCAATTGCCGCTCGATAGAATCTGGGTTGAAACCACCTGGGTTTACGCGAGTCACTGGATGAGTTTTCGAATTCCGGGAGAGAAACACTCTCCGAGCGGGAGAGAATTTTAAGTTCGAGAAAACGAACGAGCAAAAGAAGCGCGTTTGTCATTTGCGTATTTATTTATACGCCCCCGAAGAAGCGCGGTGCGTTTTCGTTAATTGATTAGACTGTTTGTTGACGCACTCGGACGACCATAATAAGACTCTTATGTGTATGCACACGTAATGTAACGTTCCGCTCCAAGACATGCACTGAACATATTGATGAACACTGCGTACGCTACGTGCTGCAGGCAGTGAAATCGGCTCGCTGCGCGCATGTAGAATATATCGCGATTCAACACACACACACACACAACTAACGACCGAATGTCGTGTTTATTGTGCGGTGTTCCACTCTTGCGTCAATGCGATTGTAACAAACACAAGCGAATTGTGCGGAAGAAAAATATGGTTAATTTTTCCTTGAAATAGAAATTGCAACACAATGCGTATTTACAAAAAAAAAAAAAAAAAAACTACAAAACCACGCTGTGTGTACGCACTTAAAAAAATATTATTTATGCGATGCCTTTTTCGTGTTTGGCGCGCGTTTCTGTATTGTCTTGATTAGTATTTTTGAACTATTATTTAAAAAACAAAAATGCAAGATCTTTTATTTGTGTCATTTTTTAACCGTAAGTGCGAAATTATGTCTCGCGGAAAGTAATCGCGTTCACGTAAAAGCGCTATCAATAAAAATGATCGCTCTTTTTCTCGCGCGTCAATTTCATTTTCAAAGGATTATTTTTCCAGATCACATTCTCGCATTATAATGCATTTTTTAAAAAAGTGCACGCGAGAGAGAGAGAGAAGAGAGTGGAGTTTTTTTTTCAAACTACTTTTTCTCCCAAATCCCATTATCGCTGACGTCACTTTAAAGCAAGCTTGTGAAATTCGTTATGGCCAACATGAACATGATTCGACATTCGCGCGAGAGTGCGCGCGTTTTCGTCATCGATGATTGCGTGAATTCACAGTTAATCGATTACGGCGCGCGCGTTGTTGAACGCGCGACAAGGGCGTCGTTCGGGCGCGAACCGCTTCTTGTGCGTGCGTCATTTCTTCGACCCCCGCGATTGTTGTTGGAGAAACAGATCCGGTCAAAAGCGACCGCAAAATCGACAGTGCCAACGAGCGCGATCGAGAACCGCCCAGGCATACGGTCCAGTTCCTTTTACGGTTGTCGACTCGCATCAAATTTCCCGCGCGTTAACGCAGCTCGCCACAGAAATACGCGCATTCGACGGGGAACGTGACGCGTAATGTTTCAGACTGGCCTCTAAAAGGGAAGCTCGTAAATTTGACGGGCGGCTTGAAATATTCAATCGTGGCCGCGCTGCGCGCTCGCTCAATTTTCCCGCAGGTGTGTTTGCATTACGGTAATTTGCGCCTGCAATTCTCGTGACTTATCGACACGTCGAGGCTGCAAAGTCACGTGATCAATCGCGCGAGGTCTTTTCTTCGGACAACGCAAAGTTATTAATAGTGGAGGCAAAAAACTTTCGCGAGTAAATAAAAAAAAAAAAACGCAAGACTATTATAAAAGCAATGTACTTTAATAGACAATTTTTTTCTGTATTCAAACAGAGCGCGACACATATAAACGCTGCGAGCTCCACGTTGAAGAAAGCGAAGCAAAAAAGTAAATCCGGCAATTTCGAATTTGCAGCACTTCCGCAATAAAAAAAATCGATTCGTTCTGGTCCGATTGTTACTTTTCGTAGAACTTTCTGTATCTCGTTTCTGTTTTTTCAGCACGAGATAACCTCGCGAATCTCGTTTCCGCGAATCCGCTCTTTTGGCAGCGGCGGCGGCGGCGACGGCGACGGCTTTGCACTTGATATCATCCCGACATTATCGAGAGCGTCATAAGAGGCGCCGACCGCGTCAAGCGCGACCGTTAATTGTGGAGAGGAACGAAGCTGATGAACGATAGCATCTTTTGCGTCTCGAAGAGAATGAACGACGTAACGAGCGTAGAAAGTATATACAGCTGACGCGAACTGCCTTTGTTCCCGTTCGTGAATCCATTTACGAGAGCTCGCGATTTCGAGCGACAGTCTCTCTTTTCTCGCAAAGCCGCAATTATGCCTGCTTGGCGTCCAGCCTGAACGATCTTCTTGAACGATATCACTTGGCAAACCGCGAGTTTCGATGAATAAAAGAAACATTGCACCGTTGCTCGCTTTCCATCGCGTCCGATTTTTACCGACGCACGCATAGATTGTTTCTTTTCGAAAAGATCCAGACTGTCTTTTGATAAGTAGAATTCTAATCTCGTTTTTTTTTTTTATCTTTGGCACTTTTCTCGCAAATGATGGAAAAATGATCATAATCGTTGCGATTATTGAATTTTTATAATATTTAATGTTATTTTTTATATATATATTTAATATATTATTATAATAGTGTATATCTAATAACAATACTATTTAATAATATTTAATAGATTATTAAACACTGTCGTTCTGATGGTTTCAGCAAATATTCCGATAAACAAGTTAATATACAAAATTTGCATCTTTTTAATATTCAGAACTAGGTTTTTACATAACGCAGATAACGTTCACTTATGTGTATAAATAAAAATGCAAATAATCACAACAACCGAAGGTCGTTGATATTATACCGTTCTACATGAGAAGTTTATACTTCCTTTCTCTTAAAATCGTTTATTTGTTTTTGTGCGTATCATGAAAGGTGCCAACATGAGAACTGACTGAATCTGAGAACGTTGTATCTACAACTTCCGGTAACAATTTAATCCGAAAGCTACTTTCATTAAACATATTATACAATTATATAATCACAGTCCAAATGTAATAGCTCAATTAGCATAAAAAACAACATCGCAGTATTGGTTTTTATGACAGAATGTGGAAATACAGTCGCTATCAATTTACAAAAGAATGTCGCCGAATGTCTTAGCTAATAAAACTGCTACTCGCTGTCGTGTGTGTGACAAATTTTACGGTTAGGAATATTATCTTATTAATTATCTTATCTTTATTCGCTTCCGTGTTCAATTATTCAACAATCCCGCCTAACTGTGTTTCCCGGCGGAAAACGGTTAACCGAGAATATTATCGCCTCTAGAATCAGATGAGCGAGTAATTCAGTCAGATAGAACGTTCACTTTCCCGAGTGAAGTAAACACGTGAATTACATCTGGAGCGAAGTGCAGAGGCGTTCTCTCGTGTGTTTCGCCTCTAACGAACCGTGTAGGACACGATGGCGTCTGAACGCTAGAGTTAGGAACCGATTAAAAGTCAGATGATAGTGATTTCGCCATCTCCGATCGCGGATGCGCGCGCGATAATTCAGAACTCGTTCCGAGACTGCGCCCCGAGGGGAGATCGAGAGTGGGTTTTCTCTTTACTTTCGTTGGCCACAGAAACGTATGTGTTTGTGTGTGTTGTTTCGCTTGGACTTGGCGAATCTGCCGCGCGCGACAGTGCCAAGCTACGGCTCACTCGTGCGGGAAAAAATGTTTTTTTTTGCTGCTAGAATAGCAAGAAGATTAATTACGTTATGACAACAGCAAGAAAACTTTGCTATTGAAATGGTTGTCATTTTGCCAACAAAATATGCAAAATATTTCGCAAAAGTTTCTTGCCGGTTGTGTAATAGCAAAATCTTTTTCTGTGTACGTGAACGACGAAATTCCGCGTTGCTCGCGCGTACGCGATGTACGGGCTCACACAAAGAGAACGAAGAGGAATATTGCTGGTCGACGTACTGCGAAAATTGTGTCACAAACTCGGCAATTTAGTTGACACGCATTTTAGACGTATTTTGTAACGAGAAACAATATTTTTGACGGAAGAAGAAATTTGTTTAGAAAATTCAATTACGTTTGCAAACAACGTTTTGAATAATTGCAACACTCTAGCGCGTTCAAAATATTGACCGTGTTATTTATTTCTTATCTATTATCGATAATTGCAAATCTCCCGTGAGATTGCAATAGAAATATCACATTCTAATATCTCGCAAATTGCAAGTGATTTTTCCGTGTGTTACAGTTTGCGCGCGAAAATTAGTATTTCTACTTTCATTATCCAATCGCTATGTAAATGTGAATTTATATTACTGCAGTTCATTTCACGTTGCATTATGTACGTGTGTGGACAAACAACAATATCAATACCGAGACAAACATCGTTCTATGGTTTGGAAAGCAAACATACCCGCGAACATCCATTGATTGATTGCTTCGTTATGATAGTCGTGTACTTTGTTCGAGAATTGATGCGCGAAAAATTACACATTCAAATTGTTTGCTTAAAATATTCGCATCGCGTGCAGGTTTCAATTTTGAACCTACCTCAAAATAGAGTTGCTGGTTCATTGCGACCTTGTAGAGCGAGCACTGGCCTTGATTGTTGTTCGACAACAGCAGATGAGGACTGTCCATGTCGTAGAGCGTCTGCGTAGGCGCGTTTCCGAAAATCGATGCCTCCTGATGCAGCAAACTCGCGCCGCTGCTGTGAACTGGCACGATCGGTTGCCAGGACGACGATATCGCCTGTACCTTGCTAAAAAACGCGAGTACCGCGCAACCAAACAAGATCGGCGTCATTTTTCAGGCGGCTCGTTTCTCTCCCCGAGCTACCTGCAAATAAGTTCAAAAAAAAACGTCTACAATCCTTCGAATCTTTTAGTTCAGAAGAAGTGCGTCTCGCTCTCTCGCTCGTCGTAGGTTTCAAATTATATTTAAAAAAATGCAATTATAAAATAAAAATCAGTCTTTGCAATTTTATCGAGGCGATAAACTTTATCAGCAACTTTACGCGCGAGAATATTGTTCAACGATATTATGCAGTCGACGGATTTCGGCGCTTAAAATTGAACTTTTGAAGAAGATTTACGACTCGATAGAACACTCGGGATATGAATAACAAAACTCAGGAAAGTTACGTCGAATCGAGTTCCGATGCAACAGCGGCGCGTCCACTTTGCGCAGCTCCGTTATGTATAATGAAAAGTACGCCGCCGTGTACAAACACACACGCAATCAGCATTATTCCGTTGCGAAATTTCATTCAGGCGAGCGTAACGAACGTTGTTGTTACCACCCAAGAATGCAATCGATAATATCACGCCTTTTCTCAGCACCCGTACGACAGCGTGAGACAATATTTTCATCACTCATTGTGTCGCGCGTGTCTTCGATGTGTCACGATATCGCGAATCGGGAGCTCCCCGGAGGAACCAGATCGAGAGCTACGAACTTAACGCGCGTCAACTTTCTGCATTTTTCACGCGTCTTAGATAAATGATGTCTTATTTTGCGTCACACTGAAATATCTCTCTCTGTGTTTATACACGTTAAAAAAAAAAAAGAATTGCAGAAACATTATGTATTCATAAGTGAATTGAAAGTTTTAGCTTCGAACGCGGCGATCGCGTTACTGTGTTATCGTATATGCAAGCGGCATCAAATTTTCCGCTTTGCTTCGCGCGCGCGCGCGCGGAAACCGGTATGACTGCAAAGCTCGTATTCGTCAAACGGCAGTGCTAACGGAACTAAAACGCGGGAATAAAGCAGAACGTAAATCGGCGACGAGAGTCCAGTTTCCAATATCGAAGGATTTACATGTCCGATGCAAAAAATTGCTTGCTCTTGTTTATTTTAAATAATGGAAATGATTTTGAATAACGTTGCATCGCGCGGCAACTCGAAGCGTTTCTCTTTTTCATTTTTTACATCGCTTTTTCATATATATCACATTATCTGTAAAAAAATTTTATTATCATTGTTTATATCGTACTTCTGTAATTATTAGTTTTCTTGAACTTGTATTTAAAATAAAATAAATCTGCATCCCGCTCTTCGATAAAATAAAAAGCTTGTTACGTCTCATCGTGAGAGATGAGCATGTTTAACTTGTTATTTTGCTTTAACGTGTTCGATAGAATGTATCGCGAAAAAATGGAGACTAGCTGTGATTAATCAGACGTGTTAAACATCTTGGTTGAATCGTACATGTACTTTGAAATTCTCATCAAACGATATCAAACCGAACCGAATAGCTTTTGCACTAATCACGTTTGCGAAATTACCGAAAAGTTTACGGTTTATTTACACACATTAGATATATTTATATATCTCTCTTTTTTTATGTACTGTGGTATACTTCATACGCCAGCTTTCAAATTTCAGAGTCGAGAAAAAATTGTTTAACGGTCGAAAATCGATTTAAAACTTCTATCTACAAAAACAGCAGAAACTGATAATTATTCTACATAGATTTTTTTTTTTCTATGTCATTGTGCCATGTAGCATTAGTTTCATCGACGCAGGGGTTATTGATGCAATGCCATTCGTTTTGTCACAAGAGCCTTTGGCGACGTATGGAGTGTAGGTTGCAGTTTACTTTGTAACACTATCGCGATCAAACAAATTGCAACCAACAGTGAAAGCTATCAAAGCGAAAATTAAAATGTAGTGTCCTGAATATTCCAGGCGACGTTGAAACGACTATACCCTTAGCTATGAATCACGCCAATCTCGTTTATGAGGAGATTATATGACATCAGGAAAATGTACTTAAAGTTTATTCCTGATAGAAAACAGAGAGAATGTACGTGTACATAATAACAAGTTCACGGATTATGAGTCATTGCATTTTAATACTGATTAACTGTATTAGCAATAAAAATAAGTATAAGCAAACAAAATTAATTTATTATATTATACAAACAAAAAACTTTACAACGACTCCGTAAACAACTAAAAAATAAATATTTTTGATCGAATGTATCGAAAATTTATATTCGATGAAATAGATTTTTGCGATAGCGCGCGCGTGGCACATTTTTATTTGAAGAATTGCACTTCTTGCCTGGTCAAGCGGTTTACAAGCGCCACTTCCGACGGATTAGACGCCGAAGTCAAAATTAACACTGACACAAGTGCAAAATGATAATTCACATGGATTAACGTTAGTTTGACATTTTTGAAAAATTGGAAAATTTATACGAAGCAAAAATCTTTTGTAAAGAGAGAGAAATCGCAAAACTCACCCAGAAGTGGCGATCAGCGAGCTCCGCAGTAGAGGGAGGTAGATCCTCGCGGTGTCAGAACGGAAAGGTAACTGCCCGTTCGTTGAGCTCACCGTGGAACTGGTAAGCTTGCAGGAAGGTGTGTGTACATTTCTCCTACCTGTGGGTCTTGATACACCTTTTGCCTCGTGAGCCTCTTGCCTCGCGCTCGTCGCTGAATGTTGTTGTCGTCGTTGTAAGCGACTCTCGCGTGTGTGCATCGAAACGTCGTCGGCCGATTACGCCTACCGTTATTCTGATTGTTCGCCCATATGCATCCGGAAATTGTACGTCGACGCGAAACGAGACCACCATGCAGACACAGAAAAAACGCACTTTTAAAATTCACGAACTTTATTTCGCTCAGAATATCTTTACATTTTTGTTTCTTTTTAATTCGTTAAGTACCAGCACATGTGATCATTATGATTATATTAACTTGAGGGGAAAAGTATTCTACTTTTGAAAACAAATTGGCTCGATAGTATTTTAACGGTTAGAGAGAATTGCGAGAGAAGTAAAATGAGTCTTGTTCTTTGATTATTAAGTTAACGTTTCGTTCTTAAGTGTAATATATTTCTAGAGAGACAAGTTTTTTTGTGAATTTCATGCAATCTTTTAGTCGTTTTGTGCCTTGCATGTCACAATTAATAATCATAATAGATGACTATTACATATAGAAAGTAAAAGGCGACTGTTGTCCTGAGGTGTCCGATAGGTAGATTCGTTCGAGCGCTCGATCTGGAACAGCGAACGGTCTCTGGTGATCGGATGGCTTGTCACCTCCTTGTCCTTGAAAAGGAATTCCGAAGATTCGGCGATTCGTAACGATAATTTCTAACAATAATACACGGACGTCATAAAATAATCAAGGTCGCGTGTTCACACACTTGTCTTTTGTGACAATATTAATCTTGAAAACCGGTAATGTGTATCGGCGTGTGAAAACACGCGCGATGGATATAGCGTGCAAATAAAATGCAATAATTAACCGAGTTAATGTGCGCATTTAATTTGTATCAAGATTACGATGCAGCTTAAAAAAAAAACACGACATACTTTATTTTTCTTTTATGGTTACCGAACGATATGTGATTTTCATGCTTCTTAAGTCCCCAAATCCCTATCACGCTATTAGCCGCAATTTATCTTGATCCGCTTTATAAAAGTGCATGAGCTACCCAAGATAAATACCGGCTCGGTGTTGGCCTTCGGGTTAAATAGCCGAAGTCGCGCTAATGCAACAGCTTTTATGCAAGTGTAACACGATGCGACGTAACCGAGCTCGCTGTTTGTTATGTTCTGATATAATCGGGATTATTACATCACACACAGCTCGGGTTGATAACCGTATAATTAGTTTAAACGAGCCATCTGCGTAATTTAGATTATCAATGACACGATCAGCAGAAAATAACAATTAGATGTTCTATGTGTGTGATAGATACGTGTGTACAGAAAGCGAAATTTCCAACTGCGTGCGCGTCGTAAAAACTTCCTGGTGACACGACAGGGAGACAGAACGTCAAACACGGACACATAAAAGCAATACATCGAAGCAAAGAGATTATATGGACACGTAAAAGAGGCAATTCAAGTGATTTTTCGATTACGCGCGTATTCGTAATCTCGAGACGGGACGACGATGTTTCTCGTCGTTTAAACTTTCTCCTCTATCTTACGAGTGTTACGCGCATTACGTAATCTTCAGTTTTTGATCGGGATGATGAGGTTCTCTAATACCGAACGCGTATTTCAATCAAAGAGAGACAATAACGCGAATAGCCAAGCTCGGGATGATACGCGCTGACAGCGAATAGTTTATTGAATTCTGACACGAAACGACATCGATCACTATGCGCGCATTATGCGTCACTGATCTGGTCCATGTCTATCGGATTATTTCCATATTTGCAATTGATCGCCAGAAGCCGTTACATATTGCTGTTTGCGACATGAGAGAGAGATAGAGAGAAAGAGAGAGAGAGAGAGAGAGAGAGAGAGAGAGAGAGAGAGGCATGTCTAAACGTTCACGCAAAATTAAAAGGCGCTTCCAACGCGCATGCGATTACCGGATTAATCCGCATAATCAGACAGTTCATCGGTTGTAATTTGCATACATTTCGCTGATCCAGCGTAACGTGTGTGTTTGAATCATCCGTTCGAACTACAAATCGATTTGTTGAATCTAAATGTCAAAGTGCCGGCTTGGAAATATTAATAAAGTATTTGCATCCTTCAATTTCACGTTTCGCAGAAGGTTTCTAAACGAGCGTAGAAGCAAGTAATTTTTTTGTTTTTTTTAAATACCAGAACGGCGAATCTGGAACGGAGCAAATGCTCCGAGAACCCAACGCGGTCAGGCAATCTCGAGAAGGTGGCGAGAACGTGTCGTCATCGCGCAGAGCGACCGCAATCTTTTTCCCTCTCGGTGCTCTCCTCCCGATGCTATAGAAAGTGAGGACAGGCGTGGTGCGTGAGGTACAAAGTAACACGTAAGGGAAACGCAAGCAAATTGCGAAACACGTTCCGGCGCAATCCGAACGTCCGGCTTTGCGGGATCTCCGGAGGTGCCTCGCGGCTATACAAATCGAACCCGGTCGAGGTCGAACAGACCGAAAAGTTTTTTCCTTTTTAGAATAACGGTTGCTGCCAGTTGTTGCGCGAAATTGATTGTCAAAAACAGAACTCAGAAGATGCATAAAAAAAAAAAAGCGTTCCTCAAGACTAATAATGTCTCCTTTCTCTTCGAGCGTTCGTTATGCGAACGCACGCCTGTGTTTGACATAATGATTGTGGCTGAAAAGAGAATGATGTATTTTTTAGTTTTGACTTGAGCTAAACTTGTTTAAAAGATATTAATTAATTAACTAAAAAACAATATAAAAAGATATTTATTTTTTGAGCGTATTAAAAAAATTAATATATTGCTTGCTAATATGATTATTATTATATATCTTATACATTTACTTTCGTAAATTTAATTAAAATTGTAATATAATACTAAGCAAGAGAGAAAACGAAAGGAAGTGGCAAAAAGAAAAACACGGTCTCCGTGATATAATTAGTCCGAGATGTGGAACGGGCGATCTTAATAGAGCATTACGGAAAAAGAAAGTTAGTGTTTTTTTTTCTACACACGAAAGTCCACTTAATCAGGATGAGTTCGGGATGTTCGCTCATTTATAATTGGCGTACGAGTCATATATTCTGACATCCTGCTTGGTTACGTATCGTATGACTGGTATCGGCTCATCGGGTTTCAAAACCGGATCGCCAGAATGCACGGTATGGTCGCCAAAAATCTCCTTTCTCTCTTTTTCTCTCGAGTTCGGCGATCGCGTTATGTAAACGTGTGTGTTGTGCGCAAAGCCTTTCTATCCCACTTTTAATTCTAACAACAGATCTTTGATCGATTCTCGAAACATGTTAAATGATATATGTTATTACATATATCATTTTTGATGATTAAACGAATTAAAATAATATCTGCACGTGAATATAGAATTTAGAATTTTCTTCGATATCTCTGCGATGTATAAATAAAAGTTTTTAATATTAGTCGTTTCTTGTTTTAATATTAATTGGTTTTAATTCTGTTTTTTTCACTTTTTACTATCTGCGCTCTTTTCTCTCTTTTAATTTAAATAATGTAATTAAATCTCAATAATGTTTTTTTAATTAATATCTTTGCGTGTAATTATATTGCTAAATCAATTAACGGTAAATATTACGCGCGTGTTAAATACTTTAATATTTGAAGTAACTTTTGAAATATATTCATCCTTATGCGTGCAATATTAATCTCTTGGTAATATCAGAGAAAATTTACACCGAGTTGATTCCGAACGTTCGTTCGCTCGCAACCGGGCTCAAAGCGCGTTTAAGCGAGTGATATTTAAGATACCGTGAGTCATCGACGTCATTACGTTCGTTTGCGTTACTCGAGATGTTAATGGGGAGAAAACCAAAATTGGAGCAAACGCTTGCTCGACCGAGAGCGGGTTTTCCCACGAAGCTAAATGATCGAGTTGCGTTTGACCGTTGGTTTCAGACAATCCTGTTACAGACAATACTGACGGACCTAGAGCTACATAGATCGACAGTTTGTATTGATCTCATTGGAATTGATCCGAACCGGTTAATTCAGTCCAATCGAGCTGTTTCGCGCTTTCACTTACCGCACTTCAATTATTCTGCCTCGTTACTGTATCTTGCTTGTTTATCACGACCTCTTCTCAGAGCTAATTTCATATAATAATGTCCAATAGAAAATTATTACGGAGAAAAATAAACACAATAACTAGATAATAACGAGGTCATTATCAATAAGTTTGTAATTTTTAAACATCTTGTAAGTGTTACATTTACAAATACACTTCAGATGTGCGTGTTTCTGAACGCACTCGCAGAAACGTACGTATTATAAATCACTCGGGTCGCATCTACATTTCAAATGCGCGCACGCAATTTTCTGACACACTTTCTGCCTGAGATATCGCGCACTGGAATTCACCAAAGATCGTTTGATGATTAATATAATTGCTATTACTTGCTGATGCACTCGTATCTATTTCAAACCTATTGCGGCATAAACATTAGCTCACTTTGGTGGGTGTTGCGTGTTGTTTTTTTCGTCGGAACGTATTATATATACACGTGCGTTACAGTGTTAAATGCGAGTATTTTCTATAGAGAGTTGTGTATATTTATATATATACACAACTCTCTATTCAGTGTTATAATTAAATTAATTAATTGTTTTCGAGCACTTTTAGTGCCACGTTTAATTGCAACTGATACAAATGGCAATGACACGTTCACGATCTTTGACTCTCAAATGATTAATTAACTTCATTCTGACGTAATCGCTTTGTAAAATTGCTTGAATATGAAAATTGCTTGAATGTGAAAAGTATCAATCTCGTTGCACAATCTGTAGCAGCAATAATCACTTGACGAAAGATCTGAACTGGTTTGCGATTCTATCATTATCCGCAATAATCACATCGACAGTATGAACCGCGATTTGTGTATTTTTGCCTATCAGCGAGATTATTATGTTATCTTGGATACATGATGTGTGTT